CCCCCCCCCCCCCCCCCCCCCCCCCCCCCTACTGCCATGGGTCCTCCTTCCCTAGAAGCTGACTTTTTGGAAACCAATTCCATATCCCAGCCTCTGGAGCTTTGTTTCTTCTTTGTAACATTTATAATGTTTAATAAGGCTGAGCTGTGATAGAATAATTGTCCAGGAGGGCCCATAGCATAGTCTGAAAATTCCTGAATAAGAATAAAACCATTCCCTATTTTGTGAAATTCATAAAAAGAGGCAGGTTGGGAGTCCGTGGATCAAAAAGACTTAGGAGAGCGGCTGCATTCTTGCTTTGGCCGTACATTTTCTGGCCTTAGGTAACACGCTTAACTTGTCTGGATCTGAGTCTTTTTATCTGTATAATAGAAGATAATCTCTTTTTGCTTTGTGCATGTAAATCCAAAACTCTATATTACACAAGATGAAGTAAGCATACATGTAATAATAACATTTAAATGCTTTTTCTCACTTTCCTGTTATCCAAATAAAGATGCTATTCGTTAGAGGAAAAAAAAGTGCAAAGTACAGAATGTCTTATAACAAAAAACACAGTCTCCCCAGCCACCCCCACTCTCCCCAGCTCCCGGCCCACTTCCCAGGGGAAACCACGTTTAACAGTTTCCATATTTAGCTCTTTCAGTGGTTACCATCCTAACTGTAATAATATGCTTATGCTACATTTCCTTGATGATCAACTCTAGACATGATCTCTTCACTCCCCACCACTTACTAGTTTTCAAGTGAAGAATCACTGATTCAGCAGACATTCCTGATAGCCTGTAGGTCAACAGGCCTCTTTAGGGCTCTCACTCTCTGTGGATCTAATTTGAGAAAAGAACGTTAGCTTCACAGTCAGAGGGAAACTGGGGATGTGATGATTTCCACGGGGCATAACACAAAGACAGCAAGAGTTTGATTTAATTACTCAAGCTCAAATTGGGCCTGTGTTGTTATGTTTTTGCTCTTTTTATATTTTTCTGTCTGCATATATTTATTTTAAATGAAATAAAATAAAACACAAACTGAACTTAGAATATCCTGTGTCACGTTTATAAAAAGAGAAACGTCTATCCTAATAGCTTATAATCCAGTACCTTGAAAAAACTAAGAGATGTTTAACAGATAAGATACTTTTTCTTCAGTCTTAAGTACTAACCGAACTGCTGTTGAGAGTGCCAGTAGATGG